TAAGAACCTAAATCACTTTAAGAGCTACCCCTGGAGGGTAATGTTTTTTTTTGTGATGTTCTCTTGGAATTTACTCTTTTGATAATTTTACTGAACTCTTCGGGATCTCGTTGCTTATTTGCCCTTCTATTATTTTACGCCAAATTGTCAAATTTGGTCAGAGTGTGAAACAAATTATTTTCGGAGTTAAAGTGTGACAAAACCAAGGCAGGTTCCACTATTGATCATATTTGCTATGTAGTGTAGAAGTTCACCAAGAGTAGTATGCATGTTGGTTGACTATTTCAAGTAAATATGTAGGGTATTCTGGCAAGATTTATTTCACTGTTCTGGCATACTAATTTGATTTTGGGGAGGGTTGTTTGATGTTCGTGAATGGTATGAGATATCTACTTTATTATAACTTAATAAGGTTGGTCATAGTGGGGAGTAACTTAGACTAGTAACATGCATATGCTACTGATAGGGAGTATGTTACTACCTTCATTATAGATAGTAACATATGTATGGTATCATGCAATCCTTCATTCATTTAGATGTAGACTTGTTTTGCTTTGGGGTGCATTATGTTATGGTAACATAATATCTTGCCACCAAACACCTCTCTCCTCATTAACTACTTACCACATAAGCAAACTTTCAGTAGGGTGCGTTATATTACAAGCTAAATTACTCCCATTGTGACCATTTGGGTGGATTTCGTTCGGTTAGCTGTCGAGAGGGCATCACAATTGCCATGACACTACTTGCTAGGACCTCCCTCTCAGTTGGGTGCAAAGGGCTTGGTCATGGGCAAAACACACATAGGTAGGGACTTTCAGTAATATTTCTGGCCATGATTTTATGACATGGTAAATTAGATCTTCAATTTCCTGCATTAAGCCTTAGAAATGCAGTAAAGGCCCGAAACTTGGTAGGAGCCCCCCATAAAAGGCCAGGACCTGGCATGTGTCATGGAATGAACTTTGTTGAGAATAATAAAATTTCCATGCCAACGGAGGTATGAGCCTTACAATTCCTTCACAAAATGAAAACATTCCCTCTCAAAAGGTCTTGTTTACACACAACCTCCAATAACGGTTTTGTGAAATGCCCTCGGGTTCTTACCACACCATCTAGGGTCTGTGTGATGACATCGCATAAGATCCCGTAAATTTTCGGTGTCTCGTTTGCATTTAGTTGGCTGCATATCCATGTTTTTTGCTGTTGGTCCCTTGCCCTTAGTTGGCTTCACTTGCCTGGTCTTGGACCAAAGACCACGAGTAGGGACTTCCAGCCCATTTTCGGGCATGGTTTTATGTGATCGCATCACAAATATTGAATTTCCAGCATTAAGCCCTAGAATTGCAGGAAATGACAAGAATATGGTAGAAGGACCTCGAAAAAGCCATGTTCTATCATGTGTCATGGAATGGACTCTAGTGTGCAAAGAAAAGTTTCAAGGAAATTGGAGGAATTGGCCCCACACCCTCTTCACAAATCAGATATGTTCCCTCTCGAAAGTCCAGGGCATAAATTGTGATATGTGATGGCCTGCTTTGATTAATACTTGGTCGATAAAATTCATTAATAGACAAAACGAATTAAGTCTCTAATCCTCAGCAGATCTAGATGTAAATAAAAATCTATATCTCGAACATTGGCTAGACATATCATACACATATATAAGTCATACAACGAAAATAAGGGTGTGCAAATTAGGGTATCCACAAGTCAGGCCCTCAAATTAAGACTAGTAGTAGAAAACATGTCTCCCTTCTAGATCCGATGTTGCGACTAGGTACATGAAGGTCATGGTGATGATGGCTTTGACTGCTTCTCCAACATCTTCGGGCTCTTTAGCATCTTAACTGTCCGCTAGTCCTTAGCTAGAAGAAGTGCATCTCTGAAGATGACCTCATTCTTCAGCATGTCCTTCTCATCATCCAACTGCTCCTTCTCCATCTTCAGTTGCTCGACCTCTGCCCTCAACCTATTAGCATCATCCATCCGGTTGGCCCTCTGAATCTCCATGCTTTTGATACGTCCCATCAGTGCATTCATGTTTGCTATAGGAAATCTACATAGATCTCCATGTGCTCCAGCCGAATGGCGTATGGGGGCATACAATCTTTGTTTTTCCTGGCCAAACATGCGCCTAACTTATCATGTCTTCTAAAGTGATAGAAATCAGGATCCTCTCAAATATCATCCTGGTAGACTCCCAAGGTGCATGCCAAAGCCACCTGGATAACCTTCTGTGGTCCTTCCTCCCATCTGGCATATGTGATAACAAGGTCCCGTTACCACACTACCTCTGCGGAGGCTTCTGTGAAACAACCTTGTATTTTTATCACACCATACATGGGTCGTGCAATGACACCGCGCCAAGTCCTTAGAATTTCCATGGAGTTACATGGCAGTAAACCGCACATCGACGGTCTCTCTATGCCCGACGATGCATGGACCTCCCTCTCAGTTGGGTGCACATGACTTGGTCATCGACCAAACACCATAGGTAGGGACATTTAGCCTTTTACTGGCCATGGTTTTAGCTGGACATAGCTCAGATCCTGTATTTCCGGCATTAAGCCCTAGAAATGCAGTAAATGTCCAAAATATAGCGGGAGGCCCCCGAAAAATCCCAGGACCTCGCATGTGTCATGAAATGGACTTTAGTGAGCATAATAAAAATTTCAGGCCAACGGAGGTATGAGCCTCATGATCCCTTCACAAACCAACAATGTTTCGTCTCAAAATATAGGTCCTCCCTGGAAGAAAGACTCATTTCCACACAACCTCCATGAAGGGTTCTGTGAAATGCCGTCAGATTCTTACCATAACCTCTAGGCTTTGTGTGATGACATCACATCAAGTCCCGTGAGTTTTTGGTTGCTCGTGAATTTCCGTGAATTTAAACAATAGAAACCGCATAGCTGTTGCATATCAGTGACTCCTAGTGTTGGCCCCTCGCTCTTAGTTTGGTGCGCTGGGCCTGGTCATGGACCAAAGACCACGAGTAAGGACTTCTAGGCCGTTTCCTGGCATGTTTTTATGTGGTCATAGCTCAAATCTTGAATTTCTAGCATTAAGCCCTAGAAATGTAGTAAATGCCCAGCATATGGTAGGAGGCCCCCGATCGCCATATCCCTCCTCTCGTCTCACACAGTCCTTGATGAATGTGATATTATCCTTCCATGGAGGTTCTTCTCATCCTCTAAATGTGGCATGGAGGAGACACCTCTCGCTGCGTCCTGACACCACACTCGGGAGAAATCTTCCTTTGAATATCGAGGTTCTGGTAGCCCATGCTCATGAGCCAACTTGCCTAAACTGTGGTAGAACATAGTTGTTTACTCCTTCGTCTTGTTTGTCACAATCTCAAACTCGGTCCAGCTGGCGAACTACAATTTGAGAGAGAAAGAGAGTAAAACATGCATGACATATGAAGTACACTAGATCAAACAAGAAAGTGTACAAGGAGAAATTAATTAGTATATATTGCTATATAACTATCTTCATTAGTTAGGTAAGAATCACAAGCATTTTAATTACAAGCATGTGTGTTTGCCTAACTATAGCTAGCATTTCACATATTTCCACACATATCCACATTTTAACAAAAATATCAATCTTTAAAAAAATCATTTTCTTTCTCTTTACTGTTATGTTTTTCAAACATTGATAATTAAACTCTACTACACACCAAATATATGTTTCCATGTCATCCAACGCATATTAACCTACCAAGATAGCTAGTAAATAATAATACTATAACAGTTACTAAACAAATTAATATGATACTTCATATTTTTAGCAAAAGAAAGAAAACTCAAAAATGGTGGAGATTTTCCATACCAAATTTCCACATCGATTTCCATATCATATTTTCACACACATGCACACACGCACACACACGCACGCGCGCGCGCAAAGATGGTGAAGTGCGGTGGCAGCTAGGTTATACGAGCCAGCCGCTCGCGCACGCGAGTTTGTAATTTATATGCGCTGAGACGAAGGGTCAAGCTTTGATGAGTATCTACCATCCAGATCTCAGCAAAACTGTCCACCCAATGAAAAGAAAAATAAATAATCTTTTGACGATAACTATGCCGAGTCTTTAAACGCAGGAGGTCGGCAAATGTGGCCTGCCGGGACAGAGCACATAGCAGTTGTCGTTGTCGCCATGTGACACAAACTTTGCCGAGTTCATTCGTTCAGTACCTCGGCATAATTCGTAAGCGCCGAGTTTATTATCTTTGATGAGTTACCTTTACCTGGTTCAGCAACGGCATGCCTCGGCCGAGCTAGACACGCCGCAAAGAGCGGTCGTTGTTTTTGTCGAGCTCCCGCAGTTGACGGTATACATGTTATAGAGCATAGACTTCACGACACCCCCTTATCTAGCCACTCATTTTTGCATTGCGATTCGTGCAACTACTTTTGTTTTTTTTGTTTCTCCCATATAGAACAACATATGAACTTCAAACTTTACAGTAGAATAAAACATCCTAACTAGAATGTGGGGAAAAAATCGGATTTTTTCGTGCATCACAAATACTAAAAATACGTATTTTAATTTAAAAAAATCTCATTTTGTATATTTTTGTTGGACCCAACAATCTGAATGTTTTTTCCCACATTCTAGTTAGGATGTTTTAGTGTCTTGCAAAGTTTGAAGTTCATATGTTGTTTCATTTAGAAGAAACAAAAAAGAGAAATTTTGATGTAGTAAGTTAGTTGTCTATTACGGATCTCAAAGCAATCTTGGAGGGTAAGGATAGAGGGTGTCCAGAATCCCGAATAGGGCATCCGGCAACGAAAATATTTCAGTAGTGAACCAACTGACGTGTTCCGTTCTTATTTCTGGGTATGGGGCAACTTACAAATTGAGAGTCCTATAAATAGCTTCCGATGTAGCTCAGGAAATGGCACCAATTCACGTTGCCAAAGCATTCATACCATTGGTGTGGTGTAGGCAGTGCGTTGGCGTGTAGGGCAAAGTCGAGTGCGTTCCAACAATGGCCCCACGTAAATTCTTGGACAACATGACTGCCCAAAATGGCATCGTCCCGGTGGTGGTGGTGGACACGGCGGAGAAGAAGACGCAATCCCCCACCCTGCTCGATGCTGACGAGTTTCGGCGTCAGAGTCACCAGGTATTGGACTTGATCGCCGAGTACTATGACCGCATGGGCGACTACCCAGTGCACCCTCCCGTTACCCCCGGCTTCCTACGCAACTTGCTCCCACCGGACGCACCCTTCCGTCCGGAGCCGGACGCATTCAGCTCCGCGCTCAAGGACGTTCGCGACATCATCCTCCCGGGCCTGACGCACTGGCAGAGCGCCCGCCACATGGCGCACTTCCCGGCGTCCAGCAGCACCATCGGCGCCCTAGGAGAGGCGCTCACAGCGGGCATCAACGTCGTCCCGTTCACGTGGGCCGCCTCGCCCTCCGCCACCGAGCTTGAGATGCTGGTCGTGTACTGGCTCGGCAAGGCGCTGCACCTGCCGAAGAGTCTCCTCTTCGCCGGAGGCGGCGGTGGAACTCTTCTTGGTACCTCGTGCGAGGCGATACTCTGCACACTCGTGGCCGCGAGGGACCGGAAACTCGCCGAGATCGGCGGGAACAGGATCTCCGACCTAGTGGTCTACTGCTCCGACCAGACACACTTCGCCTTCCGCAAGGCCGCACGCATTGCCGGCATCCTGCGTGACCACTGCCGCGCCATACCCACGTGCCACGACAACATGTTCGCTCTCTCGCCCACGAAACTACAAGCGGCCATGCAGGCTGACGTGGAAGCCGGGCTGGTGCCACTTTTCTTGTGCGCGACGCTGGGCACGACCCAGACGACCGCCGTCGACCCCATCGGCGAGCTCTGCGCTGTCACGACACCACACGGCGTGTGGGTGCACGTGGACGCCGCCTACGCCAGCTCCGCGCTGGTCTGCCCGGAGTTCACCCACGTGATCGATGGCGTGGAGGCCGTCGACTCGTTTAGCATGAACGCCCACAAGTGGCTACTCGCCAACAATGACTGCTGCGCCATGTGGGTGAAGAAGCCGAGCGCGCTGGTGGCGGCGCTCGGGCCGGAGCAGGATTTGATCCTCAAGGACGCGGCATCGGAGGGGCACAACGTGGTCGACTACATGGATTGGACCATGACGCTGACCCGCCGGTTCCGCGCGCTCAAGATGTGGCTCGTGCTCCGCTGCTACGGCATCAAAGGCCTGCGTGATCACATCCGCAATCACGTCCGCATGGCCGAGGCGTTCGAGAAGATGGTCAAGGCCGACGAAAGGTTCGAGGTGGTGACAGACCGGAAGGTCCTGCGGTCCCGAATAAGTTGGTGGCATGACTCATGAAAATTAATACACCCTCCATAAACTAATATAAGAGCGTTGAATCACTACTTTAGTGATCTAAATGCTCTTATATTAGTTTACAGAGGGAGTATATTGTACTTAGCGAATATCAATCGAGATTATCAATGTGTGTAATTTTGTGATGTACCATAAGCTACTAGTTGGATTCCCTCACGCGGGTACTTGCTTTATATTCAACCAACGCAAGCTGGAGATTATTGTACTTTGTCATTATACTTCCTTTCTGCAAAAAGGGTTCGGATCTATTATAAGGATGCTACCATTCGGTAAGCGTGGTATAAAAAACAATGAACTATTATAAGGACGCTAATACGTACCAAACATGCTCCTAATAAGGACCCTAGTGCAAACGTGTCCACATGAGCGAAGAGCCGAAGACTGAGCGAATGTATCGTTGCTGGTGGTGTCACTCTAGAACGACCGTCACTAAACCATCCATGTCTACTATTGTGCCTAGTAACTGGGCCACAAACAGAACTAGCTTGAGCACTACCAGGCAGACAAACTAGGTTTGCACCTGACTTAAAATATCTAAAATTAATGAACAAAGAAGTTGCAATCCACTTGAAAAAAAATCTGGGAAATGTCTATGAATTTCAAAAATGTACAAGACACATAAACAACTTGCCATAATATATATAATAATATTGCCATCAAACTAAGAAAATCCATATATGTAGAGCAAAAAAAACTCACAATTTTTTTAAAAAAACTCTTCCTTGTATACGGTGTACAAAAATACCATGTAATATGTTATAAAAGTTGCCAACATGAAGGTACAAACGGTACCACTTATGTATGATCTTAATTAGCATGTACTTAATATAAACTATTTTTTTATGGTTTTCATACAAAAAAAATAGGATGCTACCATGACCATATACTAGTTACAAACACAAAATGTTTTTCTTTTATGGATCATATATTCTAATCCCAAAAACCATCCAAGGATTCAAAGGATTTTCCCTGCAGAAAGGATGTATCATGTATAAACTTGCCCTGCTAATTTCAGATAAATAAAACTAACAAATATTTAGATAAAGAGTTGCCATGCTTATAATAGAAGACAGTAACAATTGATACCATGATAAAGATCGATATAGCCAGTTATCTCATTAAAAAAAGTAAAGCAGACAAAAATTGCCATAATCTAGGTAATAAAATTACCACATAGACATATTTCACAAAAACAAAAAAAGAATTGCCATGATCCTCAAAAGCAAACTATCGAATCATTTTGATTGTTAAAAAAATATCATGTAGTGAAATGTGAAGTCAAAGAAACTTGCAATTAATGCCAGTTTCTTTGTGACAAACATGTTTGTGTATGAATTGACTAGTCCAGAATGGACTAGTTTCCTCCTACTGTCTCACATAATTTGGCTTGAAAAAACAGCTAAAACAAGGGGGAAATCGGGAACACTATTCCTCAACAATTCACCACCTACCCTATATCATAAGATGTAAAGAAATATACAACAAAATGCAAGGACACAAAAAAGAAGGAGAATTGGAGCCAAAGTGGTCATACCCTGTTTCCCTCACTTTCCCGTCTTAAAATAACAGGTTTGAAATAGGTGATACATGTCAATCCCTTTCTAAAATATCAATCATATGGATTTTCCATGATACAATACTAGACTAACCTAATATTAGTAATGTTAATTCCACCTAGACATAATTATGGAATCTAATTTAGAATGTATACATCTTGTGAGGAAAAACTATTATGTCCATGTAGTAAAACAAACCAAAGAGATCAAGGATTAGTTGCCACTCCAATAAAAAAAATTGGAACATGAAAAACACATCCAAAAGGGATCACACACAGACATGTGAGGTACGTCTTTTATGAAAACATCACCTAAACAAATATTGCACTATATATTTACTAATGGAATACTAATAGAAATTGATCTAATCTTGGCATTAAAACTTTCACATACAATCTAACATCTAGTACATGAAGTTGCCATAGTCCAGCCATTAAAATGTACGTAGTACACTTAAACATTTGCCATGGTCTAGGCATTAAAAGCACCAGACAATATTTCTGGGGCTAGTATGACAAATTAAGCTCGGTAGAAAACAATGTACAAATATATATTTTGGGGAGAAGGGGATAAGGTGGTAAAAACTATATACACACACATCTTAGGTGTGTGTGTGTGTGTGTGTGTGTGTGTGTGTGTGTGTGTGTGTGCATGCGTGCGTGCGTGCATG